TATATATATATCTGTGATATGATATTTTTAATTTTTCGGGGAAATACCCAGGAGAAGAATAGCTGGGACAGATGGAACCTCTAGTCCTAGTTTTTTTGAGGAATCGCCACACTGATTTCTACAGTGGTTGCATCAGTCTATACTCCGAACAGTGGAGAAAGGTTCCTTTGCCCCCGCCCCAGCCTCACCAGCATGTATCAGTTGATTAGGATAGCCATTCTTTCTGGGTGAGATAGAATCTCACAGTTGTTTTAATTTGCATCTCTCAAATGATAGATGATGTTGAACATTTTTTCATATATTTATTTTCCATTTATATTTCTTCATCTGACAAGTGTGTAAGTCATCTCAGATGCCCATTTTTTTGATTGGTTCTTTGAATTTTGGGAATCTGATTTTTTTTTTCAATTCTTCATATGTTCTAGATATAAGATTTATACTGAGGGACAACTGGTTATTTCTTCCCCACTCTCTGGGTTGTCTTTTCACTCTCTTGGTGATTTTTTTTGTTATTGTTGTGCAAAAGCTTTTTAATAAGGTGAGATCTCATTAGATTCTTTGTAATACTTCCCTTGCGGTCTGGATTTTGTTTAAAAGTCTCTGCCTACACCGATGTTTTCAAGATTTCTACCTGTATCCTCTTCCAGTATGTTTAGTGTTTCTATTTCAATATTTACATCTTTGATCCATTTTGATGGAAATCTTTAAAATAAGAATACTAATTATCATCAAGACCTCTGTCTATTAATTTACATAATTATGTTACTAGGTTGACCTTGAATATTATAACACCCAAGACTTTTGAATATCTCTGAGATCCTCTTGTCCTGGTAAGAATGGTCTCAGAGCTTCCCTGTCTCTCCAAAATCTCCTTAGACCCAAAATCTCTAAAGTCTTGGTCACTCCTCCAGTGTCTACTCTTCCATCTGACTGGGGTGGTAAGTACTTAGTGTGTTCTTCTCTAAGCTGTTCTTTGTTGTTGTTTTTGTTTTTTATGTATTTGGTACAGGGTCTCACTATGTAGCAGCAGCTTGTACTTGCAGAGATCCTCCTGTTTTCAGCTTCCCCAGCGCTGGGATTACAGGCATGCATGTGGTGTCTTAGTAACCTAGTTTTTAAAGTTTCAAAATATCTATGTATACCTGACATTAACAGCTTTGGCCAGTGAGATAGCTCAGTGTACTAAGCACCTGCTTAGGCAAGCGCAGGGACTGGGGTTCTATCCCCACACCACACGCCACACAGGCCCCGCCCCTGGGCACACTGAGCCAACCACCAAGACCAGGCATGGTGGTGCACGCCTTTAATCCCAGCGCTGGGGAGGCTGAGAATAGGAGGATCACTACAAGCCCGAGCTGCATAGTGAGACCCTTTATCAAATAAGTAAATAAAAGATTTAAAAATAAAAACAAAATAAAAGAGAGCCAAGGGTTGGGGAGATAGATAGCTGGCACCTGCCATACTTTTCAGGTCCAATCCCCAGCCAGGGCTCTTCCTCAAACCCCACCTCTTAGCAGCACGACTGCTGTATCACCTCATGATTCAGTCACCTTCATATCTACCCACCTGCACCTCTGTCATAGAGAGTTTGCATTCCTCTGAGGCCTATCTCTCAGTGGACCCAGGCACCATGTGCTGGCCCCATCCCCAGGTGCACTGAGCCGGCCACCACGACCGAGTAGTGGCGCACACCCATAATCCCAGTGCCAGGGAGGCTGAGATAGGAGGATCACTATGATTCTGAACTGTGTAGTGAGACCCGGTATCAAAACAAAAAATAAAAAGTCAATGATTTATTTCAAATCATTGTATGGACTTATTTTTGAGGTTCAGGTCTCAAAATAAACTTTTAAGACAAAGAGTGCTCAAGTGGAATCAGTGTGGTTAAATTTTGCAGGGACAGCAACACTGAACCTGTTTTCTAAAAGTACAGATGGTGGGGCCAAGAACTGGTACTGGTGTGAGAGAAAATTGCTCCCAAGTATAACGCATTGAGAGATAGGCCTCAGAGAAGTGCGAACTGTCTATGACAGAGGTGCAGGTGGGTAGATATGAAGGTGACTGAACCATGAGGTGATACAGCTGTCGTGCTGCTAAGAGGTGGGGTCTGGAGGAAGAGCACTGGCTGGGGATCGGACCTGAAGAGTACCTCCCTCCGCAGCACCTCAGCCCTCTTGCTGCTTCTTAGCAGCCATGACAAGACCAACTCTCCTCTGTGGCAGACCCTTGTGTCATGCCTCTCCTACCTTGGAGGCAGCCAAGTGTGGACTGAAACTTCTCAAAACAGTGAGGTGAAACAAACTGTGTGCCAAGTCCCCACAGTGAAGGTAATCATTATGATCATTGTGTAACACTAGTATGTTTCAGAAAAAAAAAGTGAAAAAATCAGACACACAGACCTAAATATCTGTGAGAAACCCCGAGTATATATAAAGGACAATATAAAACATAGGTAATAGGAAACAGGAAGATAGATCTTTTGTCAATGGGAAGAGGTTCAAGAGTTAGAAGGACTAAGGTGGGGGAGGGCAGGGAAAAGAAATTAAGAAGAATTAAGATGTGTTATGTACATATTCTAACTTCCCATGA